GATTCTCACCCATAAACACTCAATCCTATTGTCACCATTGTCAAGCTCTAGACAATCAAAACTCCCCCTAACATACAGGGCTACTGAACCGCCTCTCCTTCCTTGCCTAATGCTAAATGCTGTTACCTTTGAAAATGTTTTCTTTAGTGGGAAGATCTTTTGCTAAGAGTGCTTTTAATGTAAACCCATTTCATTAGATGTAGAAAGAGAGACAGAGAATATCCCATGGCAAATACTTTATACACAATTCTCTGTTTCATGATATGTCAGTGATACTTGAACTGTGACACCTGAGTTGGAGATCCCCAACTACAACTCTGGGATTGGTAGACAAGTATACATATTTGATCTCTGATACTTTTATTGCTTTTAATCTTTCTTGCATTATCTGTAGATGAGGCACAGTCATGGTTCATTTCATCATTGCACAGGAATACAATGATGTTTTCTCTTTAGTCAAATACATTGACATGAATGTAAAAAAAAACCCCATCATTCTCTGCTAGAATTATTCTATAACTCATATGCACATTATCTGACAGTTCAGATGCTTCCCTGCTCTCTATGGCTGAGAAAGAATCATCTATACAGCAAAGAGGAGGACTACAGGCAGAGTAAACCACAGGACTTACTCCTATTGTTCCAAAACTTTCAGGTTTTCTTCTAATTTTTTTCTTGCAGAGATGTCTCCATAACCATTTGATCAGATACCAGAGAGACTTTGGGCTTGGTATGACATTGAAAGGAGTGGGCAGAGTTGCTCCTTCTTCAAAGTAACTCATCCAGAGTTTTGTTCGAGCAAACTTCCACTCAATGTCTGCATGATCCTGCACACAAGAAACACAACACCAGCACAGATGTTGCTGTAGTTAAGAAGGTGAAACAAACCTCTACAAAAATCTGAAAACCTAAAACTAGAACAACCCTGAAATACTAATTAATTTTCTTGTTAAAATACTGGCATCTTCTTTTGACAGAACGTCTTTAACACAAAGCAAAGCTAAGTTGCTTTACTTCAGTAAAGAGATGTTAGATATGTGCAGTATATATCCACTTTCAACCATTCTTTCCTTGCTACAGGCTTTTAAACAATTAAAAGTCTCTCAAACAACAAAGGATAATTACAAGCAGAAAAATGCTACATTTCTGGAAGAGGTGTTTTGTTACAGCTCATCATTATTCCACATAGATCACTCTAATTACTCTGCTGTGTAGCAGCTTCAACAAGTCTGTAAGTCTTGTGCACTCTCTTAGTAATTGCCAGCTGCAGAAATTCACAAATAGGTTATCCAACAAATCATGAGGCTACTTAAAACTGTTGAGTCAAGTATGGTTTTTTCCTCCTACTTCAGAATTATATATTTGGAATAGGTTGTGTGTGGAGGGGGTTAATTTATTTTTATTTGAAATTTTATTTCTTTTGGATTCTATATAATATTGCATAATTTTGAAAAGTTTGAAAAAAAATCAAAACTAAGGTCCATGGAAAGATTGCTAAATCCTAGCATCTGAACAAGAAGTTTAAATCACTATTATTAGATTTGAACAACAAACATAGTAGCCAAGAACTTAAACTACAGATCTAGCCCTAGCCTTTAATATTTAGCCAGATATATGGTAATCAAAACAGTAATTTAGAAGTTCTAGTAGGAAAAATATTCTACCTGAGTTTTGATGAATGTTAGTATGTTGTGATATTGTGTACCAGACTTTGCCAATTACCATTATATAAACAAATGTCAGTATTTGTTTTGTGGAAAAACTTGTAATTTCCAGATTAGAAAAAAGGCACATATTAAAATCTTCAGAGTGTGAAGCTTTCTTTTATTTGTTTGCTTTCTGCATGATCATATTTGAATTATCATATGATAAACCAGTGTTTATTTTCATTAGTCCCCTTAATAGACAGCTGAGAAATAAAAATAAGCCAATAGCTCTGATAAGGATAAAGACAGCTTTCATTAAATGAGAAAACAAGACACTGCTGAATGAGAAGTTATGACCTTTTGTTTGAATTGTTCATGGGTCCAAAAATTGTCCATGAAATGTGGGCATCCAATTTCTATTAATTATATATTAAAGCTATATAAAAATCCAAAAATAGCAGCCTTTTAAAGGTTAATAAATACACTGTATTAAAAATAAAGTAGAGGCAGAGCAATCTTTGGCAGAGTCTTTTTCTCAGGAGAGGTCCTGAACAGTGCAGCTTGGGCAGGGCTGTAGCCCATGTCACTTGCCAGCAGCTTCAGGACACCCTTCTTAACCCACGAGCTGGCTTCTGCAGCCGGGCCACCTCTTCCCCATTCAGAGTTGTGGGGAAATGCCCCTCTGTCCAATCCAGCCAGGGTCTGGTTTCTGTGTCCTTCCAGAACAGTGCAAAAGAATTAGAACAAATCAGAGAATTTGTCCCAATATCCTGTCTGTAAAAAAGATTTACTGCCAGAAACATGGGATGTAGGAACAGAGAGAAAGTATATATTATAAATGATCTAAGGATAAGGAACAACTTACAGCAATAAGTTGGTAAGAATTATTCATCATGGCTATTAGCATGTTGAGTAGAACAACCAGAGAGATTACATTATAGGTACCAAACATGGTGGCCCCAACAAATTCAGTAAATTCATGCCTTTCTTTCACATTGGTCACATAGAGATTGATGAGTCCAAATATAGACCAGAATAATGACTGCAGTGTTTCAAATAATCTGAAAAACAAAACCCAAAAGGAATAGCTGTATAACAACAATACATATACTTTTCAGATTGTTCAGTTTTCCCCCAGACACACAAAAGTCCTTGACTTGATTGAGATGAATGATACTTATCACAATATAGGCAACATATATGGAATATCTTTCTAGGGAAACAATGGCTTAATGTTTCAAATCTGAGCCTCTAGATATACAATACTGAATCTATAAATAAGCCTGCGAGTAAAAGGCTAATTTTGTTCGAACTTCTGAGGGATAAATATAGTTTTAGAGATTGCATTTTGGACACCTGTCTTTGAAGTATTTTGACCCTTTGCCTTGACTGTAGAGGGTAGAACAAGGATCCAAAACTAATTCAATGATTGTGTTTCACCAAGATGTTAAAACCATTATGGTATCCTCATACCTACTTGATGTTGTCAGTTTATGCAATTTCTAGTTAGTGTTGAGAGCCACTGAGATAAAAGGAGTTGTATAATTAGAAGGACATTATTATCATTACCATATGTTTTGTTTTTCAAAGAATGGAGATATTAAAAAGGTAAAAATGCTACTCTCAAATGAAACTTGTGCTTTTATAACTAAATAATATGATATTCCCTTAGAGAAGTTTGGGACAACAGCTAGGAAGCTAAATAACAATGAACAACTTTAAAAAAATCCTCTGCAACTAGATAGCTTGACATAATTTCACTTTTGTACAATGTTCAGCTACACTATAGTGTCACAAGCATGGGCCCTGGTTAGAAAAATTTTCTGCTTGTCTGGTCCCATATCTTGAGATTGATTGGAGTGAGTTTTCCCCATGGCCTCTCTCCTGCTCCTTCACCCTGACACCAGAAGCAGGTTACCCGGACAGGATGTGTGGGCCACCAGTGCTGCCCCCACTGCACCCAGAGCAGGGAGGCTGCTGAATTGCGGTGACTTGTACCACCCTGTGTGGTCCTGCACGCTGGGACCCGCTGTTCAGAATTAGGTAAAACTTAACACTTCAGCCCCTTTCCCACCATGTGGTATCAAGTATGAAACATAACTTTGTCATGCAACCCAGTACAGTGCTGCCCTACAGAGATACCTGAGAGGGCAGTACGCTTTTATTTATAGAAACTCTAGGTGCTGAATCTCTGTTCCCGTTATACAGCATATATGAGTGGTAAAATACTGCTCTGGAGTCTCTTGTATTGTTTACACTCGTCTGAGCACAAATCGAACAACCACTATTCTCCCCTGCTCACAGTTGCAGAAAAGGCCCGTAAGGCATCACAGTTTGCCTTGTCACCACCTTCTGGCACTAGTACCAGTAGTCCCCACTATTTCCCAGATGCAAATATTGCTTCCCTCAATGTTCAGCTCTGAAAAATTTCCCTGTGCTTTTCTGTTCAGATCACACAAAGTTTAGACCTGTCTAAGATGTTATTAATATGCAAGATAAATACGCTGTGCCTGAGCAAAGTGACTTGATTAAGATGTTATTTTTATAAAAATATTTACTTCAAGAAGGAAGCCATTGGTAATAAATATATTTTAAAAACGACCTAGATATGATTCATAGATGGTAATAGGGAACAGGTATTTATAGCAGGAGTTTGATTCAGACTGGAAGTTGAAAGATGAGATGGAGAATTAGTATTCATTTGGTACTGTTTTGGTACTATATATGAACTACAGAACAGAGTGAAGTAAAATTGATTTTTAAGTGAAAGAAAAATAAATACACTTTTAAACAGAAATTAGAATACAGTATTTGATTGTGTGGAGTAGACTCAGGGTCAGTAGAAGCCTGGACTGAATGTTTTTTCCTGCCTCAGTTCATCACATTTACAAGGAACCTTCATGTTTTAGAACACCAAACTTATTTAATGCCCACAAGTAGACACAGAAGAAATGCAGAGCGACAGCTGCCTGGCTAAGCAAGCTCTGATCTGGTGACCTTTTTTCCCTTAATCCTAAATATGTACTTTCTAATCTCATATTATCACCCTCTTTATTTTATTGTTTTATCTTTTGAGATATCTTAAATTGTACAGACTTCACTGTGGTATGGGATGAACATTATTACAGAGTGATGTAATGTTAATAATTAATTTTTTATTAGGGTAACTTTAGATGTGTCTGTCAGGACACCACTGTAATACCAATAGAAAACAGACAGCCTCTTTCCTGTAAACAACATCTAAGTGATTAAAATATTGGGGGCAGAGGGGGGGGATAGAAATAGATCAGCCACTTACGTTGAAAATGCATTATTCTGCTTTTCACATCGTATTCCTTTGCAGTTGTCAGTTCCATCTGTCTCATAGTAGAAGTACAGCTGGTTCAATCCATTTGCAAAAGCTAGCAGCACAAGGCAGTATATGAAGAGAAACTTCAAAATGTCCAGCAACATTCTTCCTAGAGATATCTGCAGAGGTCCCAGGTGAGAATTTGCAGTGAATAATGAGATCAAGCGTAGGGAGCTAAAGATGTTTGCAATTGCAAACAGGGCCTCAGCCACCAGGGTTGGATGCCACATGTCCCAGCTGTCCCGTTCACCTGACCCACTATACTGAAAATAAGCAGAAGGGAAGAAATTACTCCTCTGTTTTTATGCATAAACAAGTATGTCAGTTTCTTCATGAGCTGTTCAATTAATTTGCAGATAGCACAATAAAGCTAAACATCATTTGGAAAGCAACATGTCTTCAGGAAAATTTTTTATTTTAGCAAAACAAAAAATGGGCAGTACCCATGTACTTGTCCTTCATTTTTATCTGCAGGACGGTCTATGCTTTCTAGTTTTTTGCCTGTGTTTTGCATTTGGTTATAATTTTCACAGTAGCAAAAGCAAGTCTAACAATTCTGACTGAGACTAAAAGGAAGAGTTTTTGAACACCTGGGTTTCTAGAATTATAGAAACTTTCAGCTGTAAAATCAGGTAAATTAGGTCTTTGGAGAACAGTGCAGATATGACAATGATGGATAGAAACCCACAAGAACTTTGGCAAGTTGAAAGAAAACATTTAATCAAGGAATAAGTATATCGCTTAATCACTAACACTGGACCAAAGATGAAAAAGCTGTTTATTAATGAACCATGGCAAACTGCTTGTGTGTCTCATTATCAAAGAGTCTGATCTCTGGAACTGTGACTCTTCACTGTTCCAGCTCTACCAAAACATTTCTTGAAAGATGTAACTTTGAACTGAGGCTTAGCTACTGTGGCAGACTCATTATTATTTATTTGGTCTCATTAATCTGTTTTACAGAATGCATCAGAGGACAGAATGTATGCTATGAAGCACTCTAAAACGATGGGATAATATAATACGAAGCAGATTTCAAAAAAGAACTATGGTGCAGTCTGTATTTACCTACTCTAGCCCACCCAGATGCATCCTTCAGAGCCGCTGAGCATGCCCTCAGTGGTAAGGAAAGGGACTTTTCTGTGTCACTGGGGCCAGATGAAAAAACATAGCCAGGCTTCACTTCATTTCCACATCACGCTCACCCTCCAAAGAAGGTAACTGCTCTCAGAGCGGTCATGACCACCTGAGGAATCTGAACATACATAAGTCTATGGGACCTGATGAGATGCATCCCAGAGTCCTGAAGGAATCGGCTGATGTAGTTGCCAAGCCACTCTCCATGATATTTGAAAAGTCATGGCAGTCATGTGAAGACCCTAGTGACTGGAAAAAGGGAAATATTGCACCTATTTCTACCCTTTTTAAAAAGGGTAGAAAGGAGGACCCCAGGAATTACCGACCTGTCAGCCTCCCCTCTGTGCCTGGGAAGATCATGGAACAGATCGTCCTGGAAGCTATGCTAAGGCACATGGAGGACAGGGAGGTGACTTGAGACGGCCAGCATGGCTTCACCAAGGGCAAGCCTTGCCTTCCCCAAGTAGGGAAGAGCTACTGATGTCATCTATCTGGACCTCTGTAAGGCCTTTGACACAGTCCCCCACAACATCCTTCTCTCTAAACTGGAGAGGTATGGATCTGATAGATGGACTATTCCGTGGATAAGGAATTAGCTGGATGGTCGCATCCAGAGGGTAGTGGTCAATGGCTCAATATACAGCTGGAGATCGGTGACAAGTGGTGTCCTTCAGGGGTCTGTGTTGGGACCAGGACTGTTTAATATCTTCATCAACGACATAGACAGTGGGATCGAGTACACCCTCAGCAAGTTTGCAGATGACACCAAGCTGAGTGGTG